CACAGATCCTACCTCCATAGCACCCAGGAAGTCCCTCATCCAGCCAAGACTGAGACTGGAACACCCAGCACAGTGGGAGTCCAGTGTGCATGCACACAGATGGGCTGCCCTAGGGGGGACAGGGTAGCATTCAGCCTGGGCCAGGGGGATCTTCCCTCCCATCCTTAGTGCTGCACAGCAGGTCACCTTGTCAGCAGCCAAAGCTGATAAGCACCAAGAGCAACAAACAGGGCCCAGCCCAAGGTCCTGGACCTTATCTTGAAAATGGGAGGCACACTGGGAACCTGACCAGTGTGACCAGCTGAGGGGCAGCATTCAGCAGTGATGCTTCAGCTGCTGGGCTCTGTGTGCTCATGGCTGTGGATGGGAGTTTGCCTTGCCTGGATCAGCTCACCCCTCTCTCCACAGCATGGCTGGGCAGATGAGACAGGCACAGCCATGCTGAGAATGGAGAGGGAGCAAAGGCAGCCACGCAGTGGTCACACACGTGCCTCTGCTGCAGAGAGATGGTCCTAGAAGCGAAAGTGTGCAGCAACAAAAGCCAAGAGCATCATCCACTCCCCCTCTCACTGCAGTGCAAGAGCTTCAAAGGAGAAGAAGAAAAAAAAGAGCCTGAGGACCAGACATCATTAATCTCTTGTCGTCAGCCAGAGGGGTGCTCTCCACCCGCATCCCACTGCGGCTGATGAGACAGCACAACTGGTGGTGCCCACAGCACCAGTGAGAAGAGGTCACCACATCGCAGCCGAAGCCAATGCTGTGATCCCTTTAATGACCGTCAGCCTCTTCTGCAGCTGCATCTGGGGACTTGGAAGCTGACAAAACCCTTCCTGGGAAGCATCTGGTTCGTCTCACTGTAAATACTTCACATTGAAGAGACACAGATCGAGAGCCAAGCGCCTGCCACGAGTCCCTCCCGCTGAGCATTCGCACTGTCTCGAAGTCTGTGCAACTCCTGCTGCCTGTGCCAGTGGAGGGGAAAGGGGTTGTACAAGGCAAAGGTGCAAATGTGCTTCCGGAAAACCTGGCACCTCAAAGACAACAGAGGCCAGGCTTCTAGAGATGTAATGTAATTTAAAGAACACCATTTCTAGTTCTTCCCAACGGGATTCCTGTTCCTGACTTGGGCTCCTTCTGCAGAGGGATCTCTGCAGGGCCAGTGTGTTCCCTGTGTGATGGCCGCTGGCAAAGTGACAGCTACACCTCACCCTTGAATCCTCCACCAGGTCAGCTGCAAACCTGCTTCCACGACTGTGTATAATGCAGAGACTGAGCAGCAGCAGGCAGAAACCCAGCTCCATCTCTTGGGACATGGGAAAGCAATAGAGATTTGCTGTTGCAAGCATTCTCAGGAATTTAGGGAGGCCAGACCCAGGTCACCCGCTAAGCAGGGTGTCTCAATACAGGAGCTGAAGAAAGGCTACAGTCCCAACTGGATTGAATAAACTTAAGTTTATACAGTCCCTGACTGGATTGAATAAACTTAAGCACAGGTATAGGGGCCTCCTCCTGCTGGTGAATCCAGTGACACCCACACAGGAACCAAATACCCTCCCAGTCTCTGAGAGCAGGCAGAAAGGCTCCTTTTCTGCTACCTAAGCATCACCGTACCTCAGCTGAGCCAATTTCAGGACATGCTCTCCAAGCACAAGATACAGCATCAGCACTTATGCTGCCCACCTTCAGGCAGACCCAGTGAAATTCAAGATTTTTCTAAATAACTTGGATACAACAAATGCTGCCAGCTTCCTTCCTGGGTGCACAATCACATGGATCCTACTGCATAAACCACTCTCTCCAACCCAGCTAATTCCTGTGCTGTAGGTGGCTGCCTCCCCTGCCTCAATACACAGCATGAAACTGTAAAAACACCCTAATCAGAGCAAGCCTTTCCAAAGGAGTCAGGAGTACCCAGCTACAGGAGTGAAACATGGCACTTTCTCTCCTAATTTAAAGATCTATCTCCCTTTTCTTTACAAAAAGGTTTAAAAACAGCTTCTTTGCAGTGGAAGCATCACCCACATCTCTGTATAGAAAACTTCACAGCGTTCCATTCAAAGTGGCATTTATAATTCAAGACCTTGGCCACTGCTGACAATTCTCCAAACAAAGAGCATCACTTGCTGCTCTATGGAATACCAGCACATCCACAGTGGCACCCTGCAGTTAGCTTTGGTCTCTGCATTTTAACAAGGGCACAGCAGTACTACAGACACACAGAGAAAAGCAATTAAACTACTCAGAGGCAGCCCCTTAAGAGGTGAGGCTAAAAAGGCTGAGATCTTCCACCACTGAGGAGGGCTGGCTGCAGAGCAGGATACCAGGAGGGCACAGCAGCGGCACTTGAGGCTAGCAGGAGATCCATTTAAAGCAAGCAAAGTATCTCCTTCAATTGCAGGCAGCAAACTTCAGCACACCATATGACAAGATGTCCTGGAAAGCAGAGAGCATCAGGAGAGCATGAGCAGCCTTGCAGAGGGGTTAACGTTCAGGTCCAACACGTGGGCAGAGGTCCAGGTGGAGATGCGCCCTCCTCTGTCAAACAGTCCATCCCTCTGCTCTGCCACCAATGCTGGATATGGGAGAGGACCAAGGAGCTGCTGCGCTAGACAGAAGGGAAGTCAAGATGCCTCTCTGAGAGCAGCTTTACTTCCAAACGCTGTTAGGTAATTGGGATGCAAACACTGGTGCTCTTCCACCTCCACAGCACTGGCTCGTGACACCAGGCTGAGGGCAGAACGCCTCCAGCATCCATACACTAAACAAGCAGGAACATGCTTTGGGGCACACTACAGCTACTGTGCCTACAAAATGGCTGAGTTTTGGCTCAGGCTCCCCACCTATGCATACAAGTCCCAACTCTGTCACCACAGCTCAGCATTCTCAGTCACTAAGCTAACCACTTCCTTGGGTGGAAGGACAATGGACTCCTCACTAAGAGGCAAAACCAGCCACACAGACCCACCTGGCTATACAAGATTAACCTTAAAAAGTAGGCACAGACATAGACATGGGAGTCCTGGGGATTTGCAGAAACAGACATGAGGGAACTAACTCATTAAACAACCTCAGCAATGAAAGGGAGGTGAGGGAGTCAAAGCCAACAGCCTCAGGAGCGCACAACTCTGATGCTCGGGGCAGGTATGCTTCAGGCAAGGCTGCTGCCTTCACACTTCACTGTGTTTTGAGATATGAGGCTTCCAGATAAGCTGGAAAGAAAAAGCATGGCACCAGCTTTTCTGGAGAAGGCATAAGAAAAGACTCGGCAGTGTCCTGTGAAGCGACCATTAAAGGAATCCTGTTTAAGCTTTCACTTATCTCCTTAAAAATACAGAATTGTCAGAAAACCTCCTCAAACCAGGCTCCATAAGTACTATTTTGTGCAACACTATTGACATGCAACATGCACTCGCTGAAATGCTACTATCTGCTGCAAACACACACTCATGCCCCACCCTGGAGGCAGTGAAGGTCCCTAACCAGCTGGAGAGCAGAGGATGGAGTTGTGCCAACCAAAGGACACCTCAAGAGTCTGAAGCACAGGCAGACAAAACCCAACACCCAATGAAGGCAGAGCTTCAACAGGGTGGAGAAAAGCCTGTTGTGAACTGGACTCATGGGAATGTACCTTTGCTTCTTCAAAACCAGTCTTAGTATTTCACTCACACACATGCTCTGAAAGCAAGAAAATCATGACTTATGAATGGGTTGGGTTACTACCGGGGTTACTCCTCTAACACAGGCATTTTCTGTTAACACTCCAGTGCACCCAGCTATACACCATGGCCTTGTTAGCTAGCTAGAGCTCTGGAAACACATACATACACACAGCTTTAAGCTCTCTGTTCAGTTCACCAAGCCAAATTACACTGTCTCAGATGTTACATCAGATTGTTCACAAACAGGGACTTATTCTTACTGAAATCAGCTTTAAGACAACAGAATCTATTTCCATACCTCCAAATCCCAGTCATGCAATACTCCACAATCAGCAGCGATTTATCCTCACACTATCGTGTGAGCTGGGGAAATATGGTTCCATGCAAAGCCACAGATGCAGGTAGGAGGTGGACACAGCCAAGTGTCCAAGCCAAGCACTGACCTCCACTCCCAGATCTTTTGCTCTGGGACATCCCCACCAGGCACTGCAGGTTTGAGACAACAGACTCTTACTGACTGATCTTGGCATCACTGGATAAAACAAACCTGTCCCTCAGTCTTGGCATGTCAACAACATCCACCTGAACGAAGAGCTTCCAGCAATTTGGGAAAGGCAAGGAACTGAGATCACCAATACATTGCTTTTAAAAACTATAACCCCTAATTTGGGACCTCCATCCAAAGTAGCCTCCTTGCCCTACCATTTGTGCAGGGTCCCTCCTAGGCAGGCTGCACACACTACTGGGCCCAGGAAGTTCTCATCCTGCACTGATGGCAACGCAGTGTGTATCTTAATTGTCATTAACAGCGATGCTCAGCATCAACACACAGACTGAACAAGCCAAAGGGGGAGTCTGCATCTTCTCAAAGTATTGCAAACTCGAACATGCATCTTCAGATTCATGGACACGTCAAGCCATACATAACAAACATACAAACAGCAGCAATTCTGAGTTCCATCTGCATCTTGACACATCAATGTTTTCAGTTGTGTGTGATGATCAAGACTGACAAGTTCTGAAGCTCTTTCACCCTGGACACCCAAACTTGCCACACTGCAATGCACGGAAGGACAGTAACCTTCCAGCAGTTGCAGTCAATCACTGTGGGAAGGCATAAACCACGTCACTGCCCACAAGAATGGCCAAATATATGGGGGACTTTCTTGGTTTGCTTTTTTTTTTTGAGGAAGGTTGGTTTCTTTGGGTTTGTTTTTTCCAGTTACTCTCTGTTGCATTTTCCTGTAGCAGTCTTCTAAATCTGGATAGTGCTGACTCTGCAGGAAGAGAAGTGCAGGGGAGAAGGAGGTTTGAAGAGCTCCATTTGCAATTAATACATACCAGACTGGCCGTCAGCTGGGAATATATCTGTAAAAGAGAAAAAAAAGAGAGAAAAAATCAGTCCTGGTTGCAGCTGGAGTGTGAATCATTTAAAAGGTCCCTCCTTCCTTGGTTTGTTTGCTTTAGCTAAACAGAGGAAGTATTTTCTTAGTATCCCAAGTTAACCAACAATCCAGCTTGGAACCCACCTCAATTCAACCACTTGTTGGGAGAAAGATTCTGAAGGAGGCTGTGTTTACCTGGATGTATTGCTCTTATAAATAACCTTCTATGTTGGCTTCTAACAGACAGTGGGCAATAAAAAGCTCATTGAGATGTACAAATATCCACACAATGAGCTACCTGGTGCCACCCCCATGCTCCCCTGGCCAGCATTATCAAATGGAAAGCTGCACAGAGAGTATCTACCATGGTGACGAGCCAGGGAGCAGAGGTGGCAGCCAAAGCAAAAGCAAAACAAAGCATTTTTCTGATGGTTCTTCGTTTTTGCAGCCACAAGGGACATCAATAGCTGTGCCCAGCTCCAGTGCAGCTCCTGTACCAGAGAATCACCCTAATGATGGCATATCACCCCAAGGAGCACCTTCCCCATCCCATCTCAGGCGGCTCTACCAGCAAGCACAGTCCACTGCTGGAGTCTAGAGGGGATCCTGGAACAGATTACTCAACCTTTCCACTCCCCCACGTTCTTTCCAGTTAGAGATGCGACTTCTTCTCCTGATGGGCCCCATTTATTGCTGAGAATACTTTTATGAAGTAGCTGGGAAGGATCAGATTCTTTTGAGAAAGGAAAAGATTCTTTCTTTTGAGGAGCACACAGGACATCATATGTGGAGGAATTGTTGGTAAAGGCTCCCCCAGAAGCTCTGAAAACAACACTTTTGGGAGAGCAATACACTATATTTTCCTCAAGAAACTTGGAAGAGGAGGGGAAGGGACGCTGCCAGCAAGGCAAGGTCCTCCTGGGACAGGGGCAGGCCCCTGGCTCAGGCTTATCAGCTGCCCAAAACACACATTCATCTGGAAAGTCACAAGAGTTGCAGCAAGGCCTACCCCTTGGACAGGGCAGTGCTCTCTGGCCTGGGCTCAGCCAATGCAGCAACAGCAGAAACACGCCTCTACCAAAATAACTTCAATTTCTCTATCTTTGGCAGCGCACCGTGTTCAAAACATCCTCAGGCAGGGATGCCTTCATCCCACCTATGAGCAGCAGAAGCAAAGGGACACACACAAAAGTAATCAAAACTCTTTTTGCCATTATTCACTGTGGCCATGCTGAAGGTGTGATCCCAGGGAAAATCCAACACATCCATAAAAGCATCCAAGCACCAGTCTGGATCCTTTGCAGACTGCATTTTCTACTGCAATCCTCCACCAGCACATCACCTGAGCGCATCTAAACACCTTGTATTCCTGTGATGGATGCTGAAGAGGTCAACCTTCTACAACAGTGAGTACAAACAGCCTGTACTCGATCTACCAGGTCCTAAACAATGGGGCAATTTCTGCATTTCCCTACTTGGGCAACTCCTGCACAGCTTCTCCACAGAGGAACAAGGTGGAAGCACTGACCTGTCTGGGTCAGTTACCTGAATCAGCTATTACCAAAAACCCCCCAAATCAAGGAAAAATAATACAGTGGCTGACAAAAGGAATTCCTTTGTGTCAGCCAAGAGCTATAGGTCTTGGCAGTCATACCCTTGCTATACCCCACCAGGAGCAGTTCTCAAGTTCACATCCCTGCTAGCTGCCCAACCAAACACACAGCAAGGTTCACCTGGCTTCTCTCGAGCTCAGCCACAATAAAATCATAGCACATTTGCCACCACATTCACTAGAAAAGCAGTGGAAACTCCTCAGTGGCTTAGACCAGTAGAACGCAAAGACCATGCGTGACAGCCAGGGGCAAATACTGCTCACATTCACCTCCAGGGTTTGCCAGTGCAGCTCTTGTCAAGGAAGGACACTTGCCTCCAGTCCTCAGCCCTCCTGTTTGGAAGATATTCAGCTTGTCCAACTCGTCACACCTATGATTAATGCAGCTTCGACTCCAAGCTCTCCAGAGCAGAGAATCAGAGTGCTGGGCTTGCAGGCAGCTTTCCCCACTGCTAACAACAAGCACAAAGCAATGTCTGCAGGACTTGCTCTTCTCAAAAACAGGGCTGCTGAGAGGACACATATGAGGCAGGGCTGGTTAGGGACTGCCAGGCACAACAACCCTCTGAGACACCTCCTTCCCTTGCTAGCACAAGAGACTAGAAATTAGCCTGCCAATTGAGAGCAGCACCTGAGGTGCCCAAGGGGAGCCTAAATCAGACAGAGCTTTCCTTTCCCAAGAAAACCATGGTAAGGATTGAGGCAGAAACGCATGTGGCCCACAGGGCAAAGGGCTGCTCTCCGAGGAGCCTGTCTAGCACGCTGCAGGCCTGAGGTTAAAAATCAAACATGAAGGACCCAGGCACAGAGACCAGGCTGGGGTTTGCTCAAGTAAAGTCCCAATGTGGAAAGCAGAAGCCTCATCAGTCCCACAGATTCCTACCACCACACACACCGCTTTCCCCCCCAAGGGCACCCAGATGTCAGGTATCCTGAGACAGGCCAGATGCTGCTGAGGATGATGACGATACAGCTGAATCCAGCCTGTGCCACTGGGCCAATACAAGCTAGCCCCAGACAGCCAAATGGGAAAGAGCAAGGAGTAACAACATGGCGATGTAGACAAGGAAGACCCATGAAACTTGGACCCTATAGTCTTACATTGCCTTTCTCTTCCTGCATGCACACACTCTGCTTCTCAGTATAGGCTCAAACCCCCAGAAGATGGTGTCTGAACAGAGGTATTAGAATCATCACAGGAAACAGTGAGCTCTTCATTTTAACACCAGTCTCTGCCAAGCCAAGCATTTCCCAAGCCCTGTACCACCCTCCTCAGCTCTGTGCATTATCCATACAGCCTACAACATCCCAGCGGAAAACACGTCTCACAAATCTCCCTGTTATCAGCAAATGGGGGTGGAGGAAGGAATGAGCAGGAGGAGGTCAAGGCTGTGTGCTGCAGCTGGCAGGATGTTGGGATGGGGGCAGAGCATCCCCTTCAGGACAGTCACATGAGGGTGCAGATGTGGCACAGCAATACCCGGAGTTGCTGCACAAGAAGCCCAGGAGACATAACTAAATCGAGGGCACACGTCCTTATTGTAGGTGATGGATACAGAATCCCAATTTTTGCCTCGTGGTATTTTTATACACAGGAGGAGCCATATGCTAAAATGGGGCATTTAAAGAGAAGCCGATGCATCCACACACATACCCCCTTCCCCAGGGGCTATCTGGCCACCACTGCTATTCAGGTATCTGGGACAGGTCCAGAAAGGCCACCCCATTTATGAGCCTACACCTCCCTTCCACTGCAGAAGCACACTGCCAGCCCAGCTCCTCCACCAGCCACGCTTCAGTGCCAAACACCAACATCCTCACAGGAAGCCTGCCATCTCCCTGCTGAGAAGGGACCTCCACCACCAGCCCCCCTGCCAGCAGCACCCCTTTTCCACCACAGACACTGCTTCTTCCTCTCTGGGCCTGAGAGGCAGCGGCTGAAGAGCAGCTCATGAGCCCTGACGCAAGAGAAGTGCTGACTCGTTATTACAGCAACCCGCAGGCATAACTGCCGAGCATGGCCAGGCCAGAGGAACCAGCTCCTTGAGCCCCACTGCTCCCCCCTACCTGCAATTACCCTTCTGCTCTCCAAACTGGGGGGGGAGGAAACAACCTCAGTGTGCTTTATGTCACCTACCAGCCACCAAAGCACACTGACTGGTACACCGCACTGGTGTGCTGAGCAAGGGCTGCCCCTCTGCATGCACTGGCACACATGCCAGCAGGCTCCTCAGCTGCTGGGGGAGGATGCCAGCCGATTCGTCCTGAAGTTGTAACTGAATCATCCTTCACGTTCTGCAGACAAAAGGCTCGGACGTCAGCACAAAAATGACCTCTCCAAGGTCACGCGGGGACTCAGTGGCAGGGACACGACCAGAGCCTGGCTGCAGCGGCTCAAAGGCTGTGCTGGCTGCCCAGGAGAGGGACAGGGAAGGGAAGCACTGGTGGATGCAGGATCGATGGGGATCTCTCCTCTAACCCGTCCTGCTGCCCAGAAGGGACGATTCAGATCTGCTCCTCTGGCTATGGTGGCAATCCTCCCAGTGCAAACAGCACAGGCGGGGGAAAAGGTCCAAATTACAGAGTCCAGCGTCTGCTGCAAAGATACCAGTGCTGCTTGAATCTCTTCTCTGCCCCAGGGAAACATTTCAGCTCAAATACCCATTCCCTGGCTCCCCCTCTGAGGCCAAGGCAGTGCCCACACAGGTTCCTGAGACAGTTACCTTTGTCTCTCTGTCTCTTTACCTCTCTTTGACAAGCCTCTTCAAAGCAATGCTCAGCAGAGAAGGGGGCAAGGTCTGCTAGGAAAAAGCAGCAAAGCAAGAAACCCCAAACCCCAAGGATTAGCATGGGCAATTAAATACCTCATGAGATCTTGCTTGCTTCCTGCTCCCCTCCTTCATTACCTGCAGAGCAGGCTCAGGGAGGGTCCAGCTCTGAGCCACCCAGATCTTCCCCAACTCCCCCTAAGCTGCCAGGTCCCAGCAAAAACCTCTCTTAACAACTACTGTAATAAGAAGTATTTTTACTCCCTCAAAGAGAAGCTGAAGCTTGAAACTGACGTATCAACCCTAACCTGGTATGGTCAGGTGCTAAGACACCAATAAGGTCAGTGAAAAAAAGGTAAAAAGCCACAGCAGCATTATCAGCTCTCAAATCAGTTTCTTTGCATAGGGTATCCAGACCACTGGACCCCGGGGTGATTTTCTGCTCTCCACCTAGAGAAGAGGCTTGGCTCCTCCTCAGGCACCCTCATCGTGTATACTGGCTGAAGAGCTGCAGCCAGGGTGAGCTCCAACATCAATTTCCCACAAACCACGTGGAAACAAATGCCTGAAATAGGTTTTCAGTGTATGAACTGTGGTTTTGGT